GGAGACCCGATAGCCACGTTTGCTTCATTGCATAGGTATGGATCCGAGCCGGGTCTCGGTGCGAAGGGTGCGTGAAGTTCGGCGAGGGGCGAAAGTAAAATCGGCGCAGCGAAGAAATGTCCGCAAACGTCTCATGGGTAGGTGTATGACATCTGCGTCGGAGCTTTGCAAGATGTTGGGGAATGAGGCCGCTTTGGATTTGCGGCTCTGGGTACCATCAACAGCGAGACCCGAACCCAAGTGCACTGGGCTTGACATGCAGACACTTTAGGCAGAAATGCTGTGTGGAGTCGAAAACAAGACCGAACCCTCAGAGTGAAGCGACTTCCCAACCGAGACCCCTTCAACCGATCTGAAGTGGAATGAAGCGAAGTGGAATAGACTTCAACGTAGACGCAAGGAGCACTCAGGGTGCACGAGGCACTGGCGCTGCCCTGCACTGCAGGGGCACGCTCACTGCTAAGCTGCATGTCCAAAAAGCGTGCTGTCCCACATCTCCAACCGAACTTACATTCTCAAACATCCCTCAGAAAGAACATCACCATGGCAACATGGCTTCCTTCCTGCGGTCCACCTTCGCAGTTGATCAGCTTGACCAACGGGACGCGGCCAAATCATCGATCCACCCCCTATCTTACTCCTTTCATGGAAGGTTTATGCCGCCGCTCAAGTGGGCGCAGCCGAGACAGCGCAGGCATGCTGTTCACGTGCATCTACTCGCACAAGTGTGCCATTGGTGTCCTTGACCCTCGGGTTGATCGGGGGTTTACATTGAGAAGGAACGAAGGCGACATCGGCACGCGAAGGACATGAAGAGATCAGTAGCCATCCCCATCTTCGCACACAAGCTCCTGAGCAACTAGGTGCATATCATGGTGACTGGCACTGAGGTCTCAAGCACCAGAGAGCATGGGCAAAGTGAACGTGAAGTTCTGACAGTCGCCGCCGTACTTCGCTTTAAAGATCTCGAAATCGTCACCAAGTTGCCGGAGCAGTGTTTGCTGAGGGTGCACGGGAAGGTCCTCACCTCCGCAATGCCTTCACGTGAGCGACCGTCAAGACTCTAGAGGTCGGGCCTAGGTCCCGCAATGGGGGCGTCGCTTTTCAGTGTTCCCCGTCGCCTTACAGGGTTTTTGACACTTCCGCATGCAAATGTCCTACCAGGATACAACCGCAATTACCATAGTTTTGACCCTTGGTCATGTGAGCATACGAAGATCTTGCAGCCCCTGTGTCGGCAGACGTTTTGACTTCCCTTCTGGCCGTTTCTTTGATCTCTGGCACAGTGTGAATCTGTGTCGCTCTGTGCAAGCTGGAATGCTGCAGACTTTGGGTTTCACTTGGCTTCAGCAGCTTCAATTCTCTGTGGGTCCCAGCAGTTCTTGCACTCTGTGGCCCTCCTTTGGGGGCCCCGCTGCCAACGGCTGCTGGCTTTCAACGCGGGAGCCGAACATGCATCAGTGCATCAGGCTCTCTGGTCCACAAACGTCCACACTCCAGTGTGATACAAGCACTTGATGTCTTTACCATGTTGGCGGATAGGAGCGATGAGTGTCGGCGATTACTGAGATCCCATTGGGTGGAACGATGCGGAGAGTCACATGGCAAAGCTATGAGTGAGGGCCGCTGAGCTGCGCTTCATAAGCATGTTCAAGCACCTGCCCCAAGCGGCCCGATGCTGCATGATGAAGGAACGCAAGAGCCCACACGTCGTCCTGCACAAGCCTTGAGCCCTTCTCTGACCCCTTTCTGAGCAGCGGCCGTGTGGTGCCTGAGGCGCTTCTGCACGAGCGTCCCAACTATCGTACACTGCGTATCACTGCGTCATGCTCGAACCTCAGCTAGGCACAAAGATTGGAATTCGCATGACAAGAATGAGGACAAACCAAGCTAGTTGCTACAGGCTTCTTGGCGTCAGACCCTCGCGTGAAATCACATCTTCGGACGTGGGCCTGGAAGAACTGGTGGCCACCTGCTGCATTCGCGGGAAGGGTTAGCATACTAATTTTCGACCTGCACTTCGAGTACAACGATGTCCCAGACGAGGAGCCAATCAAACTCACTGCAGCGGGATGTAGGGATGTGGAGGGTGGGGAGAACCAATCATGCAATGCAGGAGGCTCTTGCAAATATCTTTCAACTGCCAGATGCACCAAGCCCAGGCAGCCTGTGCTTGACTCGCCGTCATGCCAGCGGCATAGAAGAAATAGAGCACATACCAACTAACCTGCCCACTGCAAGGCTGAGCGTGATCCTGAGCCTTCATGGGCCGCGGCAGGCAATACCGGGTCTAACATTCTCCGCTCTTCTGGAGAAAAAAACTGATGTTATGCTTCGGGTCCTCATGTTGGGTACTAAACCAATGAAGCTCTGCCTGGCACTTCTGCCCATGCACTTCTGGCAGCTTGCCTTCTTCTGAGAGATGAGCAGACCAAGCCAGGAGAAGCACTTAGGTTAAAATATGTTAAAATCAAACAACACCACGCCGAGGGTGGGGATTAAAAAAACACCACAGATACCCAACACACAGACTCTATTGAGATGGCTACAGACGGAATTCGCTGCCCAGACGTCCACAGGACATGGCAGAGGTTCTCCTGAAGCTTTCTTTGCCTGAGATATGGGTCCAAAGCTGCCTAGCAAGCATCACGTATTGATGCCAGCGAATTGGATTGCCAAAGGCCAAGCTGGACACGCCGGCGTCGCCTGTCCAGCTGCAGGCCTGGCAACCTCTCTCTTTAATTTGGCCCATTCGCTGAATGAGAGCCAGGGCTGCATCCCCATAGCCCCAGGTGAAACGGGCACCATCGGGCACCTTGAAGCCTGAGCACAGGTCAACCGAGCGAGCTGTAACTTCAAACTCCTCGGAACGAGCAGTGCATGTACCCAAGCGGAGAACGAATCTGCTTTCAGAGAAAGACTGTTCAGGCTGTTCACTACGAAAACTCACATGTCGCCTGCATGCTTCAACGCGTGCGCGAGATGGCGCGAAAGTGCAAAGAAGACGAGTATGGGTATAGGGCACTGCCGCACGCAATTCCAAGCACCACCAGTTTACAAACAAAAGGGGGGCACATATCCGCTCAACAATGTGATAGGTTAATAAAAACAACTTGTAATACGAGCTGCACACTAAAATCTGGCTGTTGTGTTGGCAGCGCGGGCTGTGTCGCCGAACTTTTTTTGAGTCAACATGTTGAGTTGCAGAGCACGCAAAGTCATCAAGTGATTCCATAGCGTTCGAATTTTCTCGCTGACTACCCCCGCCAACATCTCAACATGGATCCCAAAGAAATTCTTGCAGACCCGGATTCTAAGTCGCAAAACCGGCAACACTCACTCATCAGTTTTTTGCATTGTCGAGTTGCACCTTCGCAGCAAGACTTAGCCTGGAGCAACAAACCTCGTTCATGTGTCAGGATAGGGTCGAAGGGCGCATGTCCCTCTTGCTCGCGATGCAGTGGGCAGAACACGCAGTACGTGGTTCGCATGTTGATGTCATTTGCTGTGCATCCAGTGATCTCCGTGACGTTTTTGCGACATGTGTTTGCATTGGTATGGCCCCTGCAGGAAATTGTCTCATGTATCCGAATGGCAACAATGAAAGTTGCTGCGAGCAGAAAACTCGATGTCACCGGCTCTTTGACAGACATGCGACCAGTGTGCCTGACAACACAGCCCGCCACCACGAACCCCTTTTCGCGAGCTTGTGTACACTCGCTGTTACGCACCTTCGTCCATTTGAGTTCTGAGAAGCCGACCAGGACAAGCTTCTGGCCATCGATCCGTCATGCCGCAGCTTCCACTGGGGCGGCTTCTTCCACTCCTGCGGCTGCAAACCGAACTGGCAGGATCAGCAAAGAAGCATGCTCTCAGTAAAAGCGTGGTTGCTACTTCCATTGTGGAGCTTGCGGGCCTCAGTTGTCAAGTGAGCTGAAGCCATATGGAAAGAATGTCTACACCCTACATGTTACATAATTACATAGTTACATATTGCTTGCGTCTTGTACCCGAATGGAGAGGAGCCCAGGAGTCGGGGAACAAAGCGTTGCTTCGGATGGGAACCCCCGGGAGCCTGAGGGCTGGCTACGGTCTGAGGAGAAGGAGGAGCAGAAAATTCTATGGAACCCTGCTCTCTCTGCTCTCTCTGCTCTCTCTGCTCTCTCTGCTCCCTCTGCTCCCTCTGCTCCCTCTGTTGTTTCCTTCCTTCCTTCCTTCCTCCCTCCCTCCCTCCAATCCTTCCTTCCTGCGCCCTTGGTCCCCCCCGCGGTGTGAGGGGGTCCGCCCGAACGCTCGGTCTAGCGGGAACCTACCTTGTCCACACATTAACCGCCTATCCCTTGCCTCTCTCTCCCCTTTCTCCCTCTCTCCTTTCTCAGGTTTTGGGCAAGTGCTGGGGTTTGGTGGTGAGGCTTCCAAGACTCACGGCGCAGACTGATGTGCTAAAAAACGTCGGAACAGCCAACTACACGTTCTTCGACCCTGACCAAAGCACTCCTGGCTCGACCGCAGCTCCGGCTGCCTGAATGTGGATGGTGGATCACGCCCGGCGGGTCATTACCAAGCCGGTCATTACGAGGATATAATTGGGCCTTTCGATCTGGCCTCCTTCCCCCCCTTCCCAACACCACACCCCTCCTCCCTGGAACCCCGCCCCTTCTGGGATTCTAACAACAATGCGAGGACCTCCCCTAGTCCCCTACCCCCCCTGACACCTTCCTCCCCAAGCACTCCCACCAACTGCGCCCCGGCTGCCGAGGCGGCGCGCGGAAGCGTTTACAATTAAGAGGCTTCTTGACAGCAGCGTGGTGAAGCGAGGAAGGAGAACACAGCACAGCACAGTGCCACCAGCGACCCGCCTCCACCACCTCCGTCGGCTCAATCCTTCGCACATTGTACATGCTGTGCATGGATTGAAGTCTACGTCAAGCCACGAGGATGAACAACCAGAGGGGGCATGGGGGGACGGCTTCAACATGCTTCAACCGTGCGCGGAGGGCCTCTCAGCTAGTTCAGCCAGGGCCGAGCGAGGTCCAGCATCTTGGAAGACCAGGCACGTTGCAAGGGAAGTGTCGTAGTGACCAGTTCCTTAGGGCTCCGCAGAAGGCGGTCAGCTCTGCCTCCAGCTTCTTGAGGTCCTGCAAACGTGGGAGGCGGGCGAAGGGAGGCGATCGGCACATCACTGCTGCCCAGACCTTCTGCAGGGATTTCACTTGTGGATCCAGAGCAGACAAAGCCTGCGGTAGCAAGGATGGACGACATCAGCTTGCACCATGCTGGTGTGCCACGACACTGGCCCATGGAAGCACCGGCCTTCTGCGCTTCCTTGACTTTGCCTTCCGCAGCGGATTGGGCCTAGCAAATGGTACCCATGGATGGAGACGCATACATGGCAAAACCATCGCAACATCATCCGAGTCCAACACTGATCGGGCTTCTGTGTAAGCCTCAGGAATACTGTGGGCTTCAACGCGTCTGTTCACATTGAACATTCTGCCATGTTTTGACCCGCCTCGGCCCCCAGGTGCTGCTTGGCCTTGGCCTCCTCGAAGGCCACCTGCCACAGGAAATGGAAAAAGAAAACGGCGGCCCCCTCTCCAAGCCAGCCAGAACCTTCAGACGCGCAGGGCTGCAGGTCTGTTTCAGTTTCTTCGGCTTAGGATTCGCATTGCCTCCGCTTGCGACAGCTCCGCTTTACATTCCTCCTGGTGAGTCACAGATACTTCTTGTTAAGGTACATCACGCCTTGCAGACATGACCGGGGCATCATGTTCTTGTGATTATCCTGTCCTGTGCGGCAATTCAAGACAAGCCAGTGTAAACACCCTCGTCTTCCTTCTTGGGCTCGATGGCGACCAGCTCTTCTGCAGCTGCGGCCTTCGCTGCCAGTAATGTCCAGGAAAGCTCGTGTGGACTGGCCCGTCGTGACAAATTCGACTGCTGAGTTGCTCAACATGACAAACATATGCTTTGTAATCGATTTAGTATGACTGTTCTGACTGTTATGCCCTGGAAGAGACCCAGCATTCCCACGATGCACTTCGGGGTCGGGGCTTTCGACAGCTCGCTTTGACTGACTTTGCGCTCACTCCAGTGATGGTACTGAGGCCCCGCGCACGACGGCGGTCTAGCTCCTCCTGCAGGCCCGACACCACCTGCGTCGTGCTCTAGGGAACGTCGCGCTTCGGACGATGGGTGGATTGGCGCTGCTTAGATGTTGCAAGAGATACAGAGGCAGATGGAAAGCCATGACGGGCGCAAAGCGAAAAGCGAGAGTACCTTAGCGGCTCTGCTTTCGACGTCGTGTGTTGTTGAGCCAAACATCCTTTTGTCGCTCCGTCATGCTTTCCCATCATGTTGCGTCAGAGGAGTTCAGCACGTGAGGGCAGCGGCTCTCACTGCCAGTCACTCTCCGGACAGATCTCCGCGCTTAACAACGGAAAGCATGGGAAAAGTAGTGCGAACAGCACGAGCGTACCGGACGTGAAAGGCTCTTGACACCTTCGCACTTCCTTTTCCAAGGAGGAAACTCACCTCAAAAAAACCTGGACCCTTTGCGGAAAGGAAGAGCACGGACCCGTACATTTTGCCAAGGCCCGCGCGCTTGTGTCAAAGGCACCCCGCATGGCTGGCTCCTGTGGACGAGAACCCTTTTTTTACTTCAGAAGCGTCTGGCGCTTCAGCTGCTTCAGCGGCATCAGCTGTTTCAGCCCCCTCACGTGGATACTGAAGCCCCGCGACATGACAGCGCAACGAAGCTCGGAAACCTAGATGGGCCGAAGCAGCAAAAAAGGGACAAAAGGGACCTTGGTGATGGCTTCCGGGATCGCTGTCAGCAAAGACCTCCACAGATCGAAGCGCCATGGACACTTTGTGGGGTTTTTCTGGTGGCTTCGGGATGCTTAGGGGAAGCGAGGCCTTCATGGTTTTAGGGTTTTTTGTGGGTTTTAGGCTTTGAAATTTGGGGTTTCAGATGGTTTCAGAGCTCATTAAGCGTGTGTCTGTTGGTGTTCCCCACCCCCGCCACCCTCCCACTTCACCCACTCTTCCTGCTCCCTCCCCGCTGCCTTCATAGCCCCCACCTCACTCCCCACCACTGAGCGACTGGCTCGTCGAGGAGGGACAGCTTCTTCAAAGACGCCAGGAGGTTCTCAGCCTCAAACCACGGCGACAAGAAACGGAAAATAAGGGCTCCTGCCCTCAGAGGCCGGGATCACGTGCCCTTCTTCAAACTATACATCCCTGATTGGGCTGAGGATGGCGTCAGGGGCTCTCATTCACTGAGATGCCAAGCGCTTCGGCGAGCATCGTCCCCTGTGACTGTTCCTGCTGCCACTGCTGCTTCCGGGTCTACGTCGTGTACATTGGGGAGTATACATGTCGCAGTGCTCGCAGTTCAAGCATGTCGTGCGTCGCGTGCAGTTGGAAGTGGTAGAAGCATCACAAGGCTTCAGGAACTATTTTGCAGCACGCTTGCGGCTGGGCATGGCATACTTAGGACTCGCCAGTTTTTGGCTGTCCGGGACTCCTGGCATCTTCGAAGCCCACCACTGCTCGACTCAAGGGCCTTCAAGCAGACCCAGGTGTGACGACGATGCTTCTGCAACAAGCGAGATTTGGACGTGGCAAGGTGATCTTGCAGAACAAAAGGCACACTGCTGCGAGCTGAATAAAGAGACAAGCCAGAAAAGCTGCCAACCAAATGGGCGAATATTTCTCGATGATGACGAGCAGGGTGCCGGCAGTACCAATCAGAAAACAGTCCGACATCCATAGCGCAGTCCCAGTGAGGATTGATCCTAGCAGCAGCTGCAAGAACCCATGCTCCGCTGCACATCGAGTGACAAGTTGATTGCAGCGCAGCGCCAACGGAACATTGGTTGCCAAATTCAATGGGGCCAAAAGCAAGTTGAGCGCAACATCTGAGACCAGGTATGCGGGAACTGAAGAGAATCCCATGTCTGAGGCAGCTACTCGGCAATCTCGATGACCATCGCACCCTAGCACACTCAACAATGACATAAATATGAAAGGCAACACGGCAACCATGCACATCTTGAAAGACATCTCATTCTCTTGACCCAGGGCAATGACCACAGAATCACGCAGCGTACCTCTCACATAGGTGTTGAACTCATCAATGACCTCTGCTCTCGTGGGGTAACTAGTGACGTGACGGATGTCACGAATGGTCTGCACCAGAGGAACGGCTGCATCCTGCATCTCATCCACCTCGCTGCTAGGTTGCTGGATGTTCGTCCTCAAAGTATGCCACAAGCTCATCTCATCCATCAAAGGCGGCGGTCGAGACTCATCGGCATCAAAAGCGACGCTCAGTGGGGGGTCCAAAGCCTCATCAAAGAGATCTGATATATGTTCCTCAATGATCTGACGGTCACTTTCCACACTGCATCTCGCATTCTTCAAGTCGAAACTTGCCATCTCATCCAGCATCCATCTGTGGCGTCTGAGCTTCTCCAAGCAAAACCATGAGAAGGGGACTCCAGAAGCCACATACATATATGCAGGTAAAGACTCCAATTCAAACATCGAGATGAAAAGAGCTCTTCTTGAGTCAAGTTCGAAAGGGGGAGGTTTGTATCCTATCACCATGCAGGAAAGCAGGAAACCGATTCCAAACCAAGACAACGTCCACAGTGGCTTCCAAATTGGCACCAGTACCATCGCATGTGTTGGTCCAGTTTTAGCACGAACAGCTAATTCGTAGTTGCACCACAACCTGGACATGCGCAAAAAAACAGACAGGCAAGTCATGACTACAGTAGCTAGTCACTACACGCAGCCACGCTTCTGTTTTGCAAGCCCCCACCTTTGGCAGTACGTTTCATCCCAAAGCACCAACATCTGAGCTGACTGAGCCACAAAAGCTGGTACAGCTTGAAGCGTCTGAGCTTTCACAGAAGGCTGATCTTGCTCTACGCAAACTTGATCAAACCAAATGCCGGTCTTGGAAAAGACGTGCCCGAAAAGATACACGATGAGAAATGTAGCCATCGGGAGGCAGAACAACCACACGAACAAAACGTCTTCAGGCTGCGGAATGAAGCGTTGGTCAGCGTCCCCGGCTTGTAGTAAGAAGAGGATGAAGGTAGCTGACAAGGCCGCCACGACCAAAGACGAAGCAATGGCCAAGTCAAGGTTCAGATGGTGACAAACTGCCAGGGCTTTCTTCCAGCTGGCACAGGACCAAGAATGGCTAAGGAAGATGTCAGCATTCGCAACCTTCCGCAAGGAATTGACGGGCAAGCATCGCGAGCAGTTCAGAAGGCTTGATGTGACATCAAGGGCAGATGCTGCTCGAAATAGCCCGTGCTGGTCGGCTAAGGCAGCTTGCGCCTGAATTGAATGCATGGCCCTGCGCTCGGCTTACGGCTTCCGCGGTGGAAAAAGACCCTTTAGGCTAGAGCCAAGTAGACTGCAGTCAGGTCTTTCTCTCTCGCTCTCTCTCGCTCTCTGTGGTCAAGCCAAATGGACTGTCTCCTTCCAGCTTCGGTCACAGTCCTTGCACCAGCGGTGTGACTAGATCCGTCACGATGGACTCCAGGTTCTCCTGTGTCACATGGCCCGTGAGGTTTCGACCCCGAGCTTCGTGATGGCAAATGCACCGAGAGCCTGCGGCTACCTTTGATGTCCAAAAAAAACCATTCGACTCATGACGACGACAGCAGCACACAAAAGCCCTTCGGTGATGCCTTTGCACCTCTGGCGTAGACCTCCAAAAATGCCCGGGTTCAGGGTTTAGGGTTTAAGGCGTAGGGCAGTTTAGGGTTTGGGTCAGGGTTCCAGGGAAGCCCTCTGACCTTCGCACATCGCTCCTTGGCCTTTTGGCGATCGATCTGGTCCTTGTCGGCTGCACGAAGGGCGGCCTCATCCACCCCCCTCCACCCAAAACCCTCCCCAAATACGGAAAACCTGAAACCCAGAAACCTGCAAACCGTTTTTTAACCCTTGAAAACCCTTGGGGCCTAGAACCCACAAAACATTGAAAACCCTAAGCCCGAAAACCTTACAACCCCAAAACCCGAAACCCTGAAACCCTCAAACCTAAAAACTAAACCCCCACCGGGGGCATAACAGGAAGGGGCCAGAGTGGGGGGGGGAGGTGCAGCGACGCAGCACTAAACTGGACACCACTCTCGCACTGACAGCTCCTCCTCCTCCTCCCAGTTTTCTTTTTAACTCTACACTCAACAAACATGCATATATTTCTATATGTATATATATATATATACATATATATATATATTCATTTTTTATGCTACCTTCCTTGATGTGTCGTCACAACCCCTAACAAACCTTGTGAGACGTGGAGGACCACTGGAGGACCTTCAGGCCCCCTCTTTGTGGTGCTGCACCAAGTTGAGATAGCACTTGGCTTGCCTTCGTCTGCAATTGACCCAGTCCGGCTGCCGAGGCGGCGCACACAAGCGGTTATTGTATATATATATATATGTATATATATATGTATATATATATATATGAAAATCCATTTTTTATGTCATATAATAGACATATATACATATATACACATATATATATATATAACTTTTTACGTATTTGCATATCTATATCTATATATATATATATATATAATGCGAACTTGCGGGCTCAGGGAGGGATTGGATCCAACCAAGTCCGGCTCCATCCCCCTCCAATTCCCTGGTCCTTGGCCCCTAAGTCTCCAGAACAGAAAGTCGAGACCCAAATCTTCAACACCCCAAAACCCTCAGAGAAAGACCGCTAAGGCGCCTGAGCCTTGGAGACGCCCTCCTTGGCTGCTTTGAAGGCCTGTCGAGTTGCTTCGCAGGGGGTAGGGTGCAATTCCTGCGCCACTTTGGGGACCAGCTGCCCTGACGCTTGAATCAAGGGATGTGGACCATGACAGTAACTCTTGGTGACCAGCTGTTGCCAATTCACGAGGGCCACACTTGATCACACCATGATTCGATACACTCTGGTTTACGAGAACCAGGGATCGGCCTGCGCATCGGCAGCCAGCGCATACTTCTTCTCCTGGGTCCTCAGACACATCTGCGACATGACGCGACCCATTTTGCAATTCCAATGATGCACGGCAAAGTACAATAAGTGACAGGTTGTTCCGGTGAGTCGACCTTTTTTTCATGCAAGCTGCGACGACTTCTTCGCCTCGAGCTCCTCCTTGGCCTCCTTGACCTGGCTGGGGCTCTTTGGGCAAAGAACTCAGGGTTTAGGGTTTAGGGTTTAGGGTTTGGGGTTTTGGGTTTAGGGTTTAGGGTTTAGGGTGAGTGGATGAGCAGCCTCCTGGGACCTCTTTCATGGTTCGGTAGGAAGGCGGTAGAACCCAGGACGGGAGACCGTGGCTTCCCTTTCCGCGCGGACGGACTCGCAGTTGGCAATCTCTGACTTCTGATTTTCCTGGTCACAACGCAAGTGAGCACAACTCTCTTCAAGCGGCTCATGAAACTCTTGACGGCTGAAGAGATTGGAATGACATTTGCGCAGCTTCACACAGCTCTCGCACCGTGCGTAGACGTGTGCAAACGAGCCCAAGCGTCAATCGACTTCTCGAAATCCTCCCCAACGCCCTGGATGACGTCAGTTACCATCTGCACCTTTGCTAGCAGCTTTCGGCTTTATCTGCATTGGTTCTGCATTGGCTCTGCATGAGCTCTCTTAGGGTTTAGAGTTGGCAGCCTGCTCGCAACCCGGCACGTGCAGCTGAGATTGGGACCACCGACTCTTGGTACTTGTGGCGCTTGTCCTCAAAGGTACACATTCCCGCCGGACAACTTGGAATGCTCGTTCAGGAGCTCTGGTTCCTGTCCTTGCTTGTGAGCAAGGCGGACTCTGCCACGGCGGACCTCGGTCTCTTTCGTGTGAAACTCTTGTCGGCCAGGCGCTATGAGCAGCATCTCTCTCCCACCCTGGCAGACTTTGATTTTGAGCACTGACACAGCACCGCGGTGCGTTTACCTTCAACCTGCCGCGAGCCACTTCAGCATCCCAAAGCAAGAGGATGTCATGTCGTGGTTCTATCGGCTCTGTGGGGTTGCCGGATCACTTGCTCTGTCCGAGGTCACTTGGCGAAGTCGGAACCACGATGGTTCAGGACACTTAACAAAAACTTTCCAGGAGGGGGTGTTTTTCGCATCTGTTGGGTGTAACACGTTAATCACGCTGAGGGATCTGAAGGAAACTGTCACAGACCAGTCGATTCAGGCCGTCACAGCATCTTGACAACACCAGGAGGGACCTTCCAGGCATCTCGTGCACAGTGACCCTTAGAGCGTTCCTCGAAATTTTAGCTCTTCCGACGATTCGAAGTATCGAACGAACATCTCTTGCACGAACCGGCGGCCTTCGAAGACTCCAAGCCTTCACGGACCTTGTCGCAGTAGGATAGGTGTGGGTCCACCCTGGCCAGAAGACGGGGTGCGACTCCGCAGCCCTCTGATATCCCACTGTTTCTCGGCAGCAAAGGCTCCAACGAGAGATTGCAACTTTGAACGCAGGCTCTGAACACGATCCTTATACCTCCTAGATGTGGTCGCAAAGGCTGCTTGAGGTGCAGAGAAGCTACTCTCTGCAGATGCGGAAGGGCCCCATGTTTCAAGTGTCCGTGATGTCCGTGATGTGATCAGTGTGCCTGGCGCGCTTGGCCTTGCTCTCGGCTTTCGCGGCAGGGCGCTTCATGGCCTCGGCTACAGCCGACAAAATATCGAGTTTCTGGGGGGGTGGGGGGGGGGAGAAGCTTTGGTAGGGGCCTGGGATGCTCGGGATACCTTGGCATCGCAAAGGGAAGCAACTTCTGCCGAGACACTTAGAGGCCGCTTCTTCAGGCTTCGAAGCGTCCAGGGGAGCTCAGCGCTGTGAGCCCGAACAGTCGAGACTCCGGCATGCAAGAATCTGCATGATGCACGCTTCTGGAACTCTGTCCGGCTTGCTAGGCACATGTAACAGTGTAGCTGCAATGTCTGAGTCGAAGAAGTACGCCTCACCGCACTTTTTGTCCATCGCGAGCAGAGGCTCTAGAGTGAGCTGCACAAGATCGAGAGCACAAGATCACTTGCTCTTTGGCGCGGCCTGGGACGGCTCGGACTCGTCTTCGGCTTCAGGGACGCTGTCGGGGCCCTCGTCAGAGTCTGCCTCCTCTGCGGCTGCGGCCACCTTCTCCTGGGCCATGATCTCGGGGCTGGATTCGTCCTCAGGCTCGTCGGCCTCTTCGTCAGACTCGGAGCCTGACTTTGCAGTCACCTTCTCATCCTTCAGCGTCTCCTCCAGCCCCTTGCGGTCAGACTCGCTGAGAAGGTTGCCCTCTTTGTCCTGCTTCTCGATTTGCGCAAGCTCTGCCTTGTCCTCGGCCAGCTCTTCCGCAGTCTTCTTGATCGGTTCAGGGTTGTCCACACCCACCGTCTCCTCGGACGCCAGGGCCACGGTCTCGTCCGTCTTGCTGGCGTTCACGGCGGGCTGCGTCTTGTCGGTCAGAACCAGGCTCGAGCCAAGGCCCAGCAGGGACAGGACCACCAAGAAGCGGAACATGGCCAGGGCGCGCGTGACTGGCAGGGGCCAAACTTCGTTCAAGCGTGTGCTGCAGACGGGCTGCTCGGGCCGATCGAAGCAGATGAACCGCAGTTTAACGCACACCTGACAGCACTCTACAACATACTGCAAGCTCCACAGCTAAGGCCGCTACAAGATTCCCCTTGCTTTGTTAACGCGAAGAGTTCAGGGGTTGTTCATTGTCAGAGCAGTTTTGGCGGTGAGGCTTCGAGAGGTGTGCCTTGCTCAGAGCTGAACATGATCTGATGCAGCTGCCAGCAAGCAAGCAGCTACTGGGAGAACTACTTGCTACATCATGCTAGCCACTGCTAGTTCTTTAAATAAAGTGTTGCAATCTTCCATTCGCCGCATCGCGGCCCAGGACTGCCCAAGTACACGTCAGTGTTGCCTGACACGGCAAAACGATTCACTTCCTTGCACGGTTTTCTCTGGAGATGCCTTGATGCATCCGAAAGCACAGGCAGAAATGGAGTCAAACATGGTACTTGAAGCAGCTTCCACTTCAGTTCCCAGCCTCCCAACCACCCCAGGATTTCCAGGTTCCCAGATAAACGTGGGCACAGGGCCACACACAGATAGCCGTCTTTATCCTTTGTTGTGGGCCTTGGGGGTGCCAAGCACCAACTGCATACCAACTGCTGGTCAGCACCACTTTCCATTTCTTGGCAAGGCTGTGGCAGAGTCGTGGCGAAGAAAACGAAAGACTAAATGGAACCTGCTGAAGCCGTACTGCTCCAACTCATCGGCCCCGCATCTTTCAAAACTCCCGCAACGACAGCGGTGGCTGTAAACCGCACAGATGTACAAACTGCCCTTGTTGGTTTTGCTACTTTGACACGCTGTGCCACTCTTTGTGCGCACCTACACCGGTGGTGCCGCAAAGGATGAACGCCATCGCACAGGCTTGGCAAGCCGCATAGGCTTTCTGCCCAAGCTCTGCTATCAGAGACCGCGAGAAGACGGGTCCACCAAAGCGTCCCATACCGTTGGAAATGAGGCCATTGACGAGCATGACATTGTTGGCATCCAGGAGGGATCCATCTGGGAAGACGTTGCTGTTCAGAATGCCCATATTCAGTGCTCCTGACAGGTAGGTCGTCGGAAAGATGACCGAGTCAGCTAGGAGAATCCACTCGGGGTGCATGGCAAAGCCTGGAGGGACATGAAAACAAGCACAAAGGGACTTTCTGCAGGCATTCTCAAACACTTTCAACATGAGTGCCGCAGTTGATCGGACTGGGGCCCCCACCTAGCAGCATCGTGGCTGTGATGCCCATGCACGTGTATGCCCTCATCAAGCGCACCTCGCCGAATTGGTGGTGGAACTGTCGGTGCAGAAGGTAGGCTGGCACCACCAGGCAGAACGTGACCCCGATGCAAAAGCCAATGCTGTCGTGATTCCATTGGAACTTCTCTTGCAGCAGCAGGCATGTTGCCGATTCGACGCCGGAAACGATAAAGGCACGCAATGCATCCATGACCAGACCTAGGAAGCTCTGACAACCACAGGACACACCTGTTCCTGCACCAAAGGGTCAGGAAAAATGTGGAGAGAAAAAAACAAAAGGACCAGATAGGACCAGGGAGCTGATGATGAGCACCAAAGCTTGATCCCCGTGGGCTGGGCCGCTTGCCGCGCCATGGTCGGTGGCAACCTCCTGAAACGGCAAGGACACGAGATGACACACGGGGCCTCTTCAACACGGTACTCCCGGTAGTCAGAATCAGAAGATACCCTGCTGCAAGAACCCAATTAGTCCAACTAGAAGCTAGTCCTTCATTGCAGGGTAGATAAGCATGGTGGCTGTCAGGAGCACTCCAGTCGTCCAGAACTGCAACTGCGCCGTTAGCATGCTGATATGAGCTCCTCTTGCTGTCATGGTCGCATCGTTCTCGTCCTGGAAGAAGAAAAACGCAGCCGCCACCAAGATTGGGCCAGCACCGATCCCCACAGTGTTGGCCACAAATTTGTTCAAGGAGTGCCGGGGCCGTTCGCTGATGGGAGCAAGCTTCACGATGCAGCACTTCATGATTTGGTCGTTCATGCCATGACCGAAGCCCTGGAAAACCCTTGCTGTCATTGACAGGTAAACCCATGTGCTGTCTGCCTCTGGGTACTTTCCGACCCATGCCACCTTGCCCAATCCCAGCGCGCCAGCGAGTTGGCAAGAGAGCCCGACCACCAAGAAGGTCTTAACCCCACCACGCCAGACATCCGGAAACATGCTCAGGATCTTCCAACAGACGCCAGTGCCGGCTGCACTTGCAGTCATGAAGATCCCAATGAAGAGGCCGGACATTGAAGCTGCATCGTCGGATTTCAGCGCCAAGAAAAGCGGGTATGAACACAGCACCCTCGCAGCTCACTGGATGCACTGAAGCATCTTAACTTAATTCAGAAGCTGATTTAGGGTTTAGGGTTTAGGGTTTAGGGTTTCGGGTTTCGGGTTTCGGGTTTAGGGTTTAGGGTTTGAATTGAAATTGCACCTAAGAACAGACCAGTGGCAATTGGCAACATTCGGCGACAAACGCTGCAACAGACGCTTTTTTTGTTGCTTTCCGATGTCTGACGATTGAGTTTTACTGCAAGCGTTGAAACCGCCCTCTAAGGGAAGGGGGTCCTCGTACACTGGTGGTGGGGTTCCGATTCAACTATGTGAATCAGAAAAGAATGACAACTCTACAACAAAGAGAACTGGACGCTTCGTCTGTGAGTCACAGACCCGAGCAAAGAATGACCTGCAAACCGAATCGACAAGAAGAACTTTTGCAGAGTCATAGGCCCATTCCCAAGTTCGCGGTTCAGGGGGCTTCGTGTAACCCAGGGTAAGCCGAAATCTCAGCTAGGTCATGAGTCCTATCAGCAGCGCTACAGCTTTCTGAAATGTGGACCCAAGCAACACAGAGCTGTAGTTGGTGAATCCTTGAATGCAGATCAACAGGTTGACCTGGGCAGTAAGCGCGCACCTCACCCCTTTATCCTTAAAAGGTCCCGCCGGTGTGAATTTCAGCAACTCTGGTGCTTGGCTCTGCATGTCGCAAATGCTCAGGGGCTGGCATACAAGGCAAACTCATTAGGTGATACCTGGTCCCTCCACTTCTGCACCAGTGTAAGAAGCCACAGTACTGTCAGTATCAAAACCAGGCCCAGGAATGTGCCCAGCATCCGCCTGCTGAGCAGCCACTGTGTGCCCTGTGTGCCCTGTGTGCCACTCTCTTTAGCGGGAGGCGATCGGGACTTTTCAAGGCCGGACTCATCTGTAAGAACCCAGGTCTTCCACGCGATCGCAGCTGCCGGATGATGGCTGTTCCCCCCGGCCGAGTCATCCGCGGGATGGAAAACACGAACATTGTCAGGAAGTGTCCAGGCCTCTTGCATGAAAGTTTGTGAACCGCTACTCGCAACTCTGACAGCTTCCAACAAAGAAATTCTTAAGTCATTTACCAGTTTTCTTGAAAAGGGAGGCTTCATTGGTGAAAGTGAGGTCCCAGACGGGCCTCTGCCCATGCGACATCTGCGGCCAGCAGAGTGAATGACAGCGCTGCCGCCAAAGAGGAAAGCGTCATGATGCGTTCCACATCTACGCCGCTGGTACTCAAGACTCAAGACTCAGGACTAGTAGTGACCAGCAAGCATGCTGATGAGAACTGAAGGTCCTCCAGATATTGCACTTCGTGTTGCGCGTCGTGCTCCCAAAGTAGATGACGCTGTGTCGACTCAGACTCTGCCCACGAGGGCATTCGGTAGTTCGTTAGCGGATCTGGAGAGGCTGCACAACGAGCAGAGCGAATGCAAAAGCTCACCGTTTTAACAAGATCCTATGCCGCAGTGGTTCACCTGCAACACTCAATGACACTCATGAGACTAAGATGTGCATGATTGTGACTGTGACAAGGCACAAAGTTGCCCCCAACCTAAAGTTTCTCTGACACAAGTCCAGTTGCCCCCTTTGCATTTTCGCAGCAGCCTGCGCCGGCCGGTGCGAACCATATCGCCTCATCAGCGGCCCTGATTCAAAACGGCTTTGGGCCGACATGTTTGGAGAGCTGCAACGGCTAAAGTTGAAGAAGGGGAGTCCCATAGCTCCATGGGACACCCCTTCTAAACCTGAACAGTGGATTGCAAAAAGGGATCCACCTCGAGCTCCGTACAGTTGGGCATCAGGTGTAGAGGGTGCCCTGCAACGTCAACTCAAAGAAGCTCGGTCGAAGGTCGCCCTGCACACATCGCAGATTCCTGCATCTGACGGAAGCTGTGCCGTCTTGGCCCACATGGACATCCAGAACCAAGATGCTCCTGGCATGCCGAGGAGTGAAAGCCCTTGAGATGCCTTCATCGTGCACTCGCTTTACTGTGCCCCGCACAAGCATCTTGACACACACACACACACACACACAGACACACACACACACACACACACACACACTCACACACACACACACACACACACACTCACACACACACACACACACACACTGAAATTCAAAGGGTGTCACCCCTGCAATTGTTTTCCAGACGTGCCGCCCCAAATGATTCGAAGACCGAGCTCCACTTCAAAACGAGTGAACGTGCCCAAGTCCGACAACTTGGGCTTCAACTCAATTATCCTTCTAGACCCTCCCTGCTGATAGAGCTTGGTCAAGCAGAGTTGCTGCGCAGGCGTTGCCACGGAGACCTGAGTGCAAAAGCACTTAGCGGGGGTCCTCCCCTTATTCCCATGCCAGGAGCCCCATTGCCATACATCCAGGATCACCCGAATCCCGCTCCACGGAAAGCTCAAAAGTTGAAAAGTCTCCGAAGTCTCCCGAACAATCCTTAAGCGCTGAGATGGCAGCTGGAACAACTTCTCCAGGAACCTTCGTCAAACATCTTTGGGACCAAAGCAACAAGAAGAACGGCTTGGGGTATTAAATGTGGCTGCGCATGTTCCTTGCTGCTTCGGCTTGCTGCTTCGCAACCCAGATGCCACAGACCCCACTTGGAAACCCGAAAAACAAATGCTCCCATCAGTGCTTCCTCAATCTTCCAAGGGGCCCCGAGAACCCGGAAGCTCAAGTCTCCCGGGTCTTCCCCAGCCACGGCCACCTCGCGGGCGAAGCGCTGCGGGGACACGGGGACGAACTGCCGAAGGTCACCTTTCGGAGCCGTGCGTTTATCGTGCTTTCGGGTGGCTGTCGCATTGTTCGAGTGTTTTTGAAGGGCTCTCATCTGCTCTCATCTGCTCTCATCTGCTCTCATCTGCTCTCATTGCGGCTGTGCTTGTGCTAGGATGTCATCAGTGTCCAGAAAATACTCCCAGAGCGATGTGGTTCCGATGGCTGGACGGGGGCTGTGGGGAAAACGCACCCCAAACGTTGCTCCCAGAAAAGCAACTGCACATCAAGGCACCTAGCAGGGCCCAGCCGTTGGCCAACACCGGCGCGGCCGAGAGCAGCGTGAAGTTGTGGCTCACGCAGCCAGGAAGAAAGCTGGTATCGCCCGTGGCCACCGGAAGAGGGCTCTTGAAGGACCAGCGGAAGAGGCAGTCAGCCACCAAGCTTCCATTCGAGCATGGGGGCCGCAGTTGGGATGGGCTCCGATGCTCGAGCTGGGCCACCAGGAACTGCGCATCCTCCGCAGGAGGTGGCCAAAGCTCAGAGGTCGCCACAGGAGCGCCACTCACGCCGCCATCCACGTTCGTGGCCAGGATCATCCACCCGCGGAGAGCATCGGGAGAACTGGCGCTTTCCAAGGCGGCCATGGAGTTGGCCACCGAGTCCGTGCGAGGGTCTGAGGTTCCGGGCTCGGTCGGGGCTGCCCAGATCTCGGCACCGCCCCGATGGGCGTCGTAGAAGCGGTCCAGACGCAGGGCGGCGCTAGCGGGCTTCAGGATGATGCCGTCGGCGCGAGTGGCGCGGCTCAGCAGCGACACGTTGGTCCGGTTAAGGCGATCGCCAAAGCCAACCGGCCCGGTGCTAAGCACTGCAGAGATGATGTCATGTAGCACATTTGGCTTACACACACCCTTCGTCCCCCACCGTGGGTCGGTTTGATTCGAGACCGTCCAGAGAACATCGACCATCGGACGGGCACCCATAGCTCGCACCAAGAGCGCGTTCCCGCCCAAGTCCCGATACAACCCTGCCTGTATCGCGGTCCATGGATCCTGGTCTGTGGTGCACCGGTGCACCGTACGTGCTCCGTACTGTGTGGAAGCCAGAATATCGCTCGGGAAGGCCCGGTCGATGCGGATTGGTAGGCCAAGTTCAAAGGCAGCATGCGCCAGGCCCTCATCATACATCTGCTGTTCCCCGACGCTCATCAGGCGCAAGGCTGAGGATAACCAGACGTCTGCGACTCCGTCCAAAGTGATTGCCTGCAAAGATGAGTGTTATTTCTTTCCAAAGGGCAGGAGCATGCAGGAGCTATCAAAACAGCTACGTATAGCCTAGTATAGCCACATGCTCTTTCACCGCGACGCCTTGAAGAAGCCAGTGGCATACATCTTGCCAAAGATCTCGCGGAAGAAGCGTCTGGAGTCCGAACCGCAGACGCTGCCGCCCTCGAAGCGAAAGCTTGTGTTGTAGACACTGGTGGACTCGAAGGACTGCAAGAAGAGCATCATTGGCACACCGACATCCTGAATGCCCTTGGGGAAATGGAAAGGGCTGGCCGTCCACTGGTGCGCGTCCACAGCACCGTTGCAGACCTCTGTCTCATAGAACCAATACGGATCGACGTGATAGACGCCTATGTGCAGCCCGATGCTTCGGTGATATGCGTCCAACTGCTTGAAGACCTCCCCTTGAGGTGTGCAGCCTCAGGGAGATCATGCTCCAAGCTCTTTGCCAGAGTACCGAATTAAGTTGATATTCGTAAGGTGGAACCGAGCAAAACGAACCCGGGCATCGGCGCATTACCGCAGCCGCTCGTGGTATCAAAAAGGAGCTTTAAGAGATGCCTTAAGAGTCTGCGGTGCGCACCTGGGCCTCCGTGGCTCTTCTCACACATGGGCCAATAGTCGCAGTAGGTTTCCAGAGATCCGCCGTCTGTGAGGTAGTGCAGCCGGCTGCTGAGCACATCCTCCGCCAAACTGAGCTTCTGCCGCCCCCGCCGGAGGAAAGACCCAAAGTTCAGCATGGCCCCGGTCACGCCGCATGGGGCCCGCTGGCAGCTCACCAAGGCGAAGCGCAGGCTGTAGTTCGCGGGAAGTTGCTGCACCATGCCCTGCACCCCACCTGTGACGCCCAACACTTCCGAAACCTCTTCCATCTGGGCCGCTCGGCTTTGCAAGCGGCTGGTGTTCACAAGCATGCCGTCCTTGAAGTTGGAGCTGGATCCCAAGACCACCCCCGCGTCGGCCGAGTACAGCACCAGCGGACCGCCATATATACCAGCAAGCCAAGTGCCCCAGTCTGCGGGAGGCAGGCTGTGTTGAAAGGTCGAGGACAGCATCATCCCGTTCCAGGAGACGAAGCCAACATTGGCGCCTTTGCCTGGCAAATCAAGGCTGGGAAATCCTGTGGAGACGTTGAAGCAGGTGCTCGTGCAGATGCCCGTGCCGGCTAAAGCCACCAAAGCATCCACCTGGGTTACAAACTCGAAAGCTGCTGCGTCGGGCTGGTCCACGTACTGCCTCACACGGGCATGGCATGCTCATGCGGCCCACCCTTCAAAACTCTCCAAACCCAGAGCCCCAACTAACACTTGCAAGCACAGAGAGCCATTCGGACCTGATGGTTGTCGTGATCCCACCGCCGCACACTGACTCCTGCACTTTGGCAGCTGCCTTCCAGGATGTCTGGATGCCATGCCAGCGTCCCAGCCTGTCGGGGGTCATGGACATGCAGCGCGGCTACGGCCAACTTCACCTTCTAGAGCACTGGCAAACGATCTTCCAGGACTTGCTTGACGCTCTCTGCACCGGCTCACTACCGGCTCCTTGCGGCAGAGCCCTGTTGGAAATATGAGGAGAATACAAGTTCAACCGTTGAAGCTGCTCTACAGGATGAATGAGTGCCCTCATGGTTAAACAGGATCAAACAATGTGTGTTTATGGTCGAAGACTCTGTTGCGGATCCGCAGCATGCAGAAACAGCGTCCCGACCTCTCATCAATGCCTTCCACTTCGGACGTCTTGTTGTTTATGAGAAGCGCATTCGGCTTGTCCGATGCCAAGGATATGCCCCCGCACCTCACACTCTCGGGGAGGAAACTCTTCAAGGAGGGGAGGCGGGTCAAGTTTTTCAATCTTGAAGCCTCAGAACTGAGACATCGCTACCGGAACGCATGGAATGTCGAAGACGATTACCTTCAGCCGAGGTGCTGAAGAGTCACTCGGCCATTCTGCAACCACACGACGCCGCGGACGTAGACATCATATCGGAAGGCCTCGTCCACGAAAATGGAAATCGGCCCGCTGCTCCCCTGCCATGCGAAAGTGAGTACCAGCTGGTAGAGGCAAAGGCAAAGCCTCAAGGGCCCCATGGCCCAAATACAGGAGATCGCGCTACGACTCTTGATGGCTCCTCTTCATGGCTATATCCATCTCCATCCGCTGTCAATGTGGCTGGTGGCTCTGCTGTGAGAATGAAAGAAACTCATGTCACTTGCTGGTCATGGCCTCAATCTTCCATATGACTGGTGCCACGCAAAGAAAATGTCTCAGAATCTGCTTTCATTGTGGTACGTTGCGGTGGGAATAGATGGCTCAAGCCCAAGCCTCGGCCCTAGAACATTGCAGAACCGACCACACGCAAGCTAGGCACAGATGCGAACGACAGTGCAGGACATCACAAGACAGGAGATTGCCGGCTTTTTCAGCGCTACGCAGAGTTTACCGAAGGCATCGGTATGTCGATGGGCCAGTCGACGTCCAGAACGACTGGCCTCTTTGCGAGCCTCGGAGGCGGGGAGTGCGAGTGCGGCGTGTGTGTGCGGTGTGTGGGTGCGGTGCTCACCCGATAAGGCAGCCGCGCTTTGATGGCCGAAGGGTTCTCTTTGCTGGACAGGTCATAACCATTGATGGCTATGACGACCTCAGGTGTTGTAACATCACAGATCATGCCAAGCTATATTGAGGGATCGTGATGTACCGCGCAAAGACCTGCCAACTACCAAGCCAAGTATTTTAGCCATGCAGCCCCACCGACCGGAACACGAGGAGTTTTCCTGTATGAAAGCGTCCCTTCCCGGACCTCAGCGAACGGCTCACATGCAAATCGCAAACTGGACTAGTCCGAGATCAGTCCCAGATCCCCATCTTCAGCGAGTCCTTCCCTCCTTTTGCGATTCTCACGTCGATGTCCCCAGCGCACCTCTAGAATCCAAGGAGGAACGTCGCGGGACAGGCGTATCCCCAGCAGACCTTCGTCTCGGAAGGTATATCGCACCTGGGCTTGGCAAGCTCGGGCTTCATAGAACTTTGGAACATCCATCTCCGAACCCGCCAAGGCACGATGCCCTTTTTGGGCGGCTTGCTGAGGTTCTCCTCTTGGGACAGGACGCTCGACCGGGGCATGTGGTAGTGCTGCTTCGGATGACACGTACGGTGACGGCAGTATTCTACGACCTCATTGCATGAGAAGCGCGCTCGGCCTGGGGACCGCCAGATGAGAGCTGCAAGACAAGACCCAGACTGACCAAAAAACTCAATCCTGCCCTTCCTACCGCACTTTAGCAGAGCATCTTCCGGTCCTGCGCCTGCTGCCGAGCAGCCATTGCCTCCAAGCTGCAAGTTGCAGTTGGAGAGGCCGTATGGCTTCTGTTTCATGTGGCTTCTTGTGGCAGTTCTACGGGCCAGTCATGACATTAAGTTCGTGTGGCTAACGTACAATTTATGATTGTTAAAGGCTCTGTTGTACGCTCAGTGGTTCGCGAACATGATATCGGCGTGTGCACAATACAACAAAGAAAAGGCACACGCACACTTGTATTCACCTCGGCGTCCGGCCGAGAGAGGCGTCTAGAATCTAGAACAAGCAGACCAAGACCTGCTCTCCTGCCTCCTGACGTACCCCCTTCCCGGGGGCAAAACCGATGCCGCGGCGAGTGTGCGTGCGTGCGTGTGCGTGCGTGCGTGCGTGTGCATGTGCGTGCGTGCGTGCGTGTGCGTGCGTGCGTGGGTGTGTGTGTGGGTGTGTAAACATTCTCGCGTGCCAAGATAATAGTCTTTTGACGCACGCTGTGTATGGCTATCGTGCTCCCCACACCAATAGCATTTCGTCGTTAATGAGTGCATGAACAGCCCCATGATCATAATCGTAACTCACGGGCCGACATGGAAGTAATGACAGTCTTGTATTGCAATGGGAAAACTGGCCATTATGCATCGTTCTTTTCATGAGGCCCTTTTGGCCCCAATCTAATGACGTCGCGACGTTCCTTAAATTTACACATTGAGGAGGGTCTTGTACGGGCTTGGAGTAATAATCGGGGCAAAGAACCCATGCGCGCCCGATATTGACACGATGGACAACACTTACTATTCTTATATATTTGGTCCAACGAACGCACTCACAACACGGTGCATTTGCTGTTATGTTAGTCGTGCCGTCAGTCACGCCCTTCGTGAGCTAAAGAACTCCTCCACGGAAGCTCCGGCCCCATGAAACAATGGCACCTCGGGCGCATCGTCCTCCTCGTCATCCTCGTCCTCGTCTGCATGGTTTCATATGGTTTCCCAGCACTCAAAGTGGCAGAAAGCTACACTCAAATTCACTCAACCAAGCCCGCCATGGCCGCCCGCAGTCCTTCTCGCTGGAGGGCGAAGCCGGACCGACCAGCATGGGCTCCCTCCGGTGTGTGGCAGTCAACAGGCTCTCAGGTGCTTTGCATGTGCCAGGCCCGATTTGCCTCCGTGCCCTCCTGGGCACCAGACATGGGACAATTTTTTCCGGGACATCACGGATACATACTGATAAGGAACTTTGGCAGAAGGACTCCACAACATCGTAGCATGCCAGCCTCAGCGATTCCTCCATCTTGGCCTGAAGCACAATGATTGGCACATGCCACCAAGTCACGCACCGTTCAGGCCCTCACCGACCCAGCATCAAGAAGCCATCAGAGTAAAAACCATCCAAGAGATTCGATCGAAAGCCGAAGAGATTCGATCGAAAGCCCTCCGAACAAGACGACCCTCAGCAGCCTGACCATCTCTAGACTAGACATTCGTAGGCTTGTTGCCCGGAACAAACTCCCACTCTAGACCGTCGATGGCCCTCAACATCCCTGAACATCCCTACATTGTACCATCCGGGCGACCTTCTTCTGCGGCTGCTCCGGAGGCTCCGCATTGACGTTGCCCATCCACACTTCACTCTCCTGCTGCGCACTCTCGCTGCCACGGTCATTCTTTGATTCTGGACATGGAACTCTGCCGGCAACATGAAGATACTCGTGGAGCCCCAGGCAGTATGACATGCCAGCACAGTCCCGCATGCAAAGCAGTAAGCTGCTTACTGAATTGTATGGTGCGCGTGGCCTTGAGGGCCACCAGGCCAGTCTGAAAGGCAGACGCATCTCCAGCGGCCAGGGCAGCCAAAGCAGCCTGCCCAGCCGCATGGTCCTTGAGTGGGGAGCAGCTGCCGTTATCGCGGACCCTAAAGCTACCCCCAAGCTCTGCCCCTAGGATCAGTAGATGCAGGCCAGCCTTGGCTAGTTTCTCGGGGCGAGTGGCGGACTCCTCGAAGTCACAAGCAACATCGCGACCCCTCAACGTCGCACGACAGAGCAACGATAGCACATGCTGAATCCCGAAATAGAATCAAGCTCCTTCGCCTCTGCACGTCGCACCGCAGGCGCGGCAAACGGGCAAGCGCCTGTGCCTGGACCCGAGGCTCAGGGCACCCAAGTTGCCATGGCTACGGCTGCTTACCCAACTACATCTTTCCTGGAAGCATCTCTGGGCCGGTGCAGTGGTTTCAGTCGGCATTCTCTACGGCCTCCTCGGCACAAAGGCCGAGGTGGCACATCCCGCCTCGCCTGCAGGGAGCAGCCTCAGGTCCTCCTTCTTCATGCAGTCCATCGGGCTGAGCCTCCGTGGAGATGGGTTTAGCATGTTTGGGTTCTTCGGCTCAAAAAGAGATTTGAGGGATTCGTCTGCCAGGGAGCGAGAGGGCGTGCAGCCACTTCCTCTGCTTCGAGGCGCTGCCCACCCGGCCCAGGCCTCGTTTGCAACGACGGATGCCTCTGTGTGTATCTATCTATATCTATATCTATATCTATATCTATATCTATATATATATATATATGTAAACATACGATTACACTCTTTACGTTCAATTTCAATATGTATATATATATACACATATATAGAAAAATGTATACACGGTACGCCCCCTCTACCTAAGGTCTCCTGTCTGTTTTGCCTCAGACAGGAGCCTCAGCATTTACCATCTGCTTGCACTGCTTCGAGGCCTAGGGGAGTTTCGAGATGCCACGATGCTGGCAGTCCCTGATTCTCTGGATAAGGGGGTAGTATGAGGCTTGACCTACAGTCAACAGCCCTGTCGTCTCTTTCATCACTTTGTTGAAAATTCCTCCCCCCATCTTGAACAGCCCCATGCCTCTCTAGATTCCTATCCGAGCATCTGCATCCAACGTGAGAGAGGGCGAACTGCCCCTCATAGCAAAAGGCTTGGGGTACCGATTTGAACATCGTTTGGGACCTTCATGTTATGTTTGCATCTCTAGTTTGTTTGAACAAAATGGGCCTCAAAGGGCATCTTGTTCTAAAGCAAGAAGCCCGTCATGAAGAACTTCCATATGAATGGGAAGGAAGCTGGGTAAATAATGGCAAACATGATGGGAATCGCCATGCCAAGCTATAAGATTTCTAGGAGGATGCCCCTCATGAATCAAGCGCTAGGTCGGACAATCTAGGTGCAAAAGTAAGAGAGGGCACAAGACGACGGGATATCATTCAACATAAAGGTTTCATTTCAAAGATGGCCAATGAGATGTGAGTGGATGAGACTCACAATAGGAATCGCATTAAATTGAAAACCAAGTCTCAGGTAGGTGCCGGGGGCGAAGCTAATATATGCGTATGTATACTGTTCATATTTATGTGTATATGATATATCATATAATACAATACAATACAATATAACATAACATAATCTTGTTGTTTACCTATCTTCTTAAGTCTTAAGGTCCAAAAGCAGTCTCCGGTCTCCACGGAATCCCTGCCTATGCAGCGGCAGGCGTGCTCTCGCCGCAGCGCCTCCCATCCGCAAAAGCCCCGTGTCGATTCCAGGCTTGGAAAACAATTGGGTAGTCATTTCAGGCCGTACGGCGTGACCGTAACATGTCCCCTTAGAAAACATCGGAGCATTCCCTCAACCTTGCCTTGAAAGGTGTCCGCTGGTAGAAGATGTCGGCAGTGCCGCAGATGTGATAGCCTCACAGGTCTGGAGCTTTGGGACTTTATGACTTTATCTCGCGAAATTCGATTCACCTGCTGCTCGGAGGTCCTTTCCTGC